GTTCTCATGTTTCATTTCTATGATGTACGGTGGCGAGAATGTAAATAAGGAATCCACATTTTAGAAAGGTTTGGCTATTTTTCTTTGTTTAAAAAATGTTTATTATGTTTTTATGAAAATATAGCTTACTATCTAAACAATACCCTGTAAATCAAAATCTTAAACTTTGTAGAACATTTATATTTACAAGTTCGACAAATCTTAACAAATGTACATCAAAGTTGGAAACTGTTTAATCCGATTTTATAGAAATTTTTTGAGTATGCAGTTTTTGTAAATTTTGGTATAATAAAGGACTTATCGTTGATTTTTGGCAATTTTTTGTTAACGCATTTTCTTCCATACAAAGTATGTTCGAAAATATTTTGTACAGAAGAAATTAGCAACAGCTTCCACAAAAAATTTGCCAAAAATGAATGGTAAGTCCTAGCTACTTAAAATTTGCACTTCGTTATAAAAAAATTGAATTGGCTACAAAGTTGCATACTCAGAATGTTACTAGAGTTTCTAATTAAAAATCTCTAGAATTTCGCTAATTTTCGTACAAAGTTTGAAATTTTTACTTGCGTAGTTTTTCTTAGATAACGAGCTACACTTTCATACAAAAATAATAAACATCAAATAAACGAAAGGAAATTAGCCACAGAATGCCAAAATGTCTCTTCGATATTTATATTTTCGTCACTGTATGTATTGTTACGATCATCCTTGAATTAATCTCTGAATTCCTAAATCTTTCGGGTTCTTCTCACTGGATTGTTAAATTATTTACGTTACAACAATACTTTCATCATTAATTTAAAATCTACGGTTACTGTTTATTTAGAAATCGTGTTGAAAACACATTTGTAGTCAGCAAAGCTGCATATATTTACTACTATAAGTTAGGGATGTAAATTACGGTGAAAACATCGATGTTTGAAGAATCGATGTTTCGATAAATTACATCGATGGCAGTTCGATGTATTGAATGAAAACATCGATGCTTTTACAGATGTTTCTAATTTTTATTCAACCCGTGTGCTGATTGAAAAATTTTAACTAACGGTAAAGATTACTGTTTCTTATTGTTAACATATTGACTCAGAGAAGTGGGTTTACAAAACAAATGCAAAGTAAAACTTTATTCACATATCACCTGGAATGCAAAAAGACGTAACAAACATCGTCGCTGAAATTCAAAAAGTGGTAACTAATACAAAATTAAAATTCAGTTTTTGATTGATATGCTGGATTTCATCGAATTGCAACTCCCACATCTTTTAATGAATAAAATAAAAAAATTTTCAACAATTTTTATTGAGCTCGAGGCCGTTTTTTAATGAAAGTTTTATGTGGAAAAGCAACAATAATTAGAAAAAATGGTAGAAGTGATAGCTATTTCGGAAATCACCACATTTCCTCATCAGACTTCTTTCAGTAGGCTTCGAACCGACGATCCCACTGACTCAGCCAGTTGCCTGTGCACTGTGCTAAGCTCGCCTTGTAAATTATCGTTGCTTTTTTCCCACTTTTTCATTTTTGTTATGCCAACACAATCAAGAGCAGCTATTCCGCTGAAATTCACTTGATCATGTGGTTGTTGGTTTTGTTGGTTTTTGCTAATAATTCTATTTTTAGAATGTTTAACTTTTTAGGTGTGCTCGTCCTTGAGTTATTTGTTTTTTTGTTAACGGCCTCGAGCTCAATAAAAATTGTTGAATATAATTGTTATAAGGCCATAAAATAACAAAAAAAAAACACATAAAAAAATTTTGTCACGACTTTTTCCATTTCAGCTACGATGTTGTTACGTCTTTTTGCATTTCAGGTGACGATATATTTACATTTTTCTTTTCACAAATATTGTAAGCAAATTTAAATAAAATTTCACTGAGCCCGCTACCAGTTTATCAAAATACATCCAGCACAGGCTTCATTCGTTTATTACTCTAAAATATTAACAAGAATTAGGATCTCTGGCGTAATACATGTATGTACACTGCATACTTATAAACCAATTAAAGTATTTCTTACTTATATATAGGGTTGCCAGATTCTGAAACGGAGAAAGGAGTACATTTCTATTTTCGATAGAAAAAAAGCAGTACAAAACTTAAAAAAAGAGTACAATTTTTGTTTTAATTTTTTTGTGCAATTTATTGTTACGAATTGCCATTATTTAGGACGGATATCATAGAAATCTTTTTCAAAGCAACAATATATGTTAAAAATAAATAACTAAATTCCACAAAAGAATTCCAGGCTATTCCTGAATGTATGGCAATTTTTTTAATTTATAATTTAAAAATTTTCTGATTTTTATACCCGAGCGCCCTGCACCTACCTGCCTACGACCATGCTTACACCTTTTCACTATCACACTTAAGACTACGAGTATGTTCAAACAGGCCAATTAGCTGAGGCAAATAAACTTTAAATTGCGGAATTGGGTTTTGTGTTCACACATATGTCAGCTGCGCAATTTTTTTTTTTAATTATACTTGCGTTTATTTGTTGGATCTGCTTATTTTACATCTAAATATTAAGCCTAACAACAAGTTTAAAAATCTTACGTCTAATTTTACAATAATGTACAATAATAACACTGAGGTTGAGCCCTGTAGGTTTAACGTCGCTCAATTAAAGGCTGGTAGATCTCTTCTTCGCAGGCGTGTTATATTTGTTGTGTTGCACAGGCCACTTGCCAGTGGATTTGGGTGGTTACGCAGTTTTATTTTGTATTTTTCTCTGCTGCTGTCGATTACAGATTTAACCAGCGGTTTACCAAGGTCTCTATGTATATTTTCATTGAGGACATACCACGGTGCTCCCGTTAAGGCCCTTAGCGTTTTAGATTGGAATCTTTGGATCCTGTCAATGTTGGTTGCACAGGTCGTACCCCACAGTTGAATACCATACATCCATATAGGCTTAATCACTGTATTATATACAAGTACTTTATAATCTAGTTTCAGTTATGATTTACTGTTTATAAGCCAGTTCACGCTAGCTGACTTTAGCTTCATTTGTGTAATCTTGGTTGATAAGTGTTTGCGCCAAGTTAGTCTCCTATCCAAGTGTATTCCTAGATATGTCACCTCATTGGCTTGGGGAATATGGACATTATTTAATTTGATTGGGGGGCATACTTGCGGTCTGAGTGAAAATGTTGTATGTTTACTCTTCTGTTCGTTGACTTTTATGCGCCAATTTGCCAGCCATTCTTCTATGCATAGTAAATGTTCCTCTAGTGCTCTTGAAGCTCTGTTGGGAAATTTATTACGACTTACTAAGGCGGTATCATCAGCGAAGGTGGATGTGAGTATATTCTTGCTAGTTGGAATATCTGAAGTGTAGATGATATACAGCATAGGCCCGAGTACACT